CCGGTTTCCAACAATGTACTTCAAAATATGGAGTGGTGTTGGTTTGCATTCTTATAGCAAAACACTTCCAAATAGGGATAGGAGTAGCAAATATGCTACCGATTTTAGTTTTTTGTGATGAGATGCTTTTTAAGCCGGTGAAATCAAAAAAATTTTACTTCATTTTCTTTTTAAAAAAAGAAAACGTAAGTAGTTACAAATAGTTCATTTATCATTTTTCAAAACCAAAAACATCAATCTTCTCTAAATAGTGTCTAAACCATATTTAGGCTTCAAAAAGAATTTGACAATTTTTTATTTATTTTGAAAATGTGCACAATCAGCAGTTATATGGACGGCTGATGAGTATAATCAACAGTCATAACTACTGATTGTGAGCATCGGTAGTTCATATGACTGATTATTGTGCATAATTCACATTCCAAAAAAAACAAATCTTTTTTTAGCCTAATGTGGTTTAGACACACCATTTAGAGAAGATTAGTGTTTTTGGTTTTGAAAAATGATGACTTGATTATGAGTTCACAAGTTTTCACATATATTTTGGTTCACAAAAAAAAACCCAGATATATATATATATATATATATATTATATATTATATATATTATATATATATATATATATATATATTATATATATATATATATATATATATATATAGGCGAGGCTAGCTTGCCGGCAAAAGGTGATTGTCTTTTGTTTGATGAGAACAAGAAGGGCAATTGACTGCAGGCCTCTTGGGTGGGGGCAACCGAAGGAAGATAGCACGGGGCAAAGCAAAGGGCAGAGCTTCGAGTGACGTGTGTGTGTACACACACATGATAAATTTAAAACATAAAACTGAACTCCTAATCATTCAAAAGGGTAGAGCTTCGAGTGACTTGTGTGTGACACACCCACAATAAATTTAAAACCTAAAACTAAACTCCTAATCACAAATGTTTTGCCCCAATATTCACCTTCATCACTCGTGGCTCTTCCACATCTTGCGACAAACCTTCTTCAGTAGCCCTAAGAAGTGCCAACTCGTTTGTCATATCTTCTCCATTGTGTCACTATTTCTCCTCCCTAGCACGGCTCTAAAGAGAAGGGAATGGGCGCAAGTGCCCCTAATGATCAAATATATTTTGTAGAGAATGAACTGAAAAAATCATATCATTTAAACAAATAAAAAGCTTAGTACCCCCCAACTGCTCAACCACATAAAACGCAAAACGCAGCTGAAGATCATTTATCCGACTATGTGTGAGCTTAAATGATCCAAACCAAAGACAAAAGACAGGTTGTGCTCTTTCTTTTGAGGCTGAACTCTTTTTCTCAGTTGCTTTAATCGTATTGTGTATTTGTGTAGTGTGTTCATATATATAAACTAAGTCAAAGACTATTAAGGCTACGATTATTATAAGAGAATGGCCATACCAACAATAAAAGTTTTCATGTCCCCTATCTTTTGGTTATTACTATTAGCCTATACAAAGGCTATGTTTGTTTATAAATTGGGATATCTATTTATTTTGGTTTATCAACACAACGATTATAGATTTTTATGGTTATTATTTATTTTAGGCACAATATTAAAGTTTTTTAATAAAAAAAAAATGTGAAATAACTTCTTTGTTGTATGATCATGAGCGATCAATTTCTTAAAGATTTTTTCATTTCGTATATTCAGAAATATGTATTATTGACACTTTGAGCCGATCTGATCACATCGTTGACTCAATTATGTGGCCCGACCCTATCATATTGTTGACCGCTAGTTCCTCCTATAATGGGAATTTCTGGATCCCCCAAGTCATAACGCCAACATCCCTTACCATAACGGCGGAGGGGTGGTGTTCCGAAGTTATAACGTCATTTTGGCAATGTTGACAGCAACAACATTTTGGAGGCCCATACCCAAGAGTCTTAATTTTCACTTTTCATATAACAATGTACTGTTGTACTTCATTGGTGTTGGATTTTTGTCCCATTAGACACCTATCGTGTCCATCTCATATCCAACCATCATAGACTTTTAGAATTATTAAGAAAGCTCGAGTTAAACTATATGTTGCTATAAGGTGGAGAAGGTACACTTCAGTTTATGCTGTCCCTTCCCTTATTGGATGTTTTTACCTTTGAGATGGTAGTCATAGCTTAAAATAGCAACATACAACAAAATGTGATAGTTTGATACAATTCAATCAATCTATATAGTTTAATACAATTCAAGTTTCAACCAAAGTAATTATCATCAATTTCTCCATTGCCCACTACCTCGTTGCCTTGTTATCAACATTGTTTAAAGTTTCCTTAATCTCTATATAAAACACAAAACAAAAAGCCTGTTAGCATTAAATAAAATATAAAATATGTATCAAAATAAAACAAGAAGTGAAAATATAATTAACCAAAGCTATATCATCGTCATTCAAGATGTTGGGGTATGTTGTCTATAATCTAGTCTTTCTAACCCATTTTTGGCACACAACAAAGCTTCCACCATCACCATCAACAAGTTAGCACTATAGTCGATTAAAACTCTACGAATAGTGTTAAATGTGGACCCGGATGCCACAGTTGAGATTTGTATCCCCAAAGTCTATTAACAAATAAACTATTGCAAAATGTAACGACATTAATTATAAAAGAAATAAACATTTAAAAATAACTAGTACCTTTTGTCGTCCGAGCAACTATCAGGAACCTTAAACCCGTTAAGTTTCCATCAACCAAGTGTATCAAAAAAAAGTTTGTTCTTCACCGGCGGCTCTTCTAAATAACTTCTTAATTCATTGTCCATCGTGTCCGAGTTTCCACCTCTCGTATTAAAGAAGTTGCACAAAAGAAAATTGTTATCACCGTCACAATCAACAACTTGTTGAGAAGACCTGCATGTGTGACATTTTTCCAAGTAGGTCTTAAGAAATTTCTAAATCTTCATCTCAACCTCAAGATGCATTTGAAGTGCTTTCAAGTCTATGGTCAACTTTCACAACTTATCATATTTGTACCTTGATCATTTCTTTAAAAATATATAACAATAAGTTGGACTTCGTGATAAGATCTAACAAAACCGCAAAGTACACAAAATCATTCAACTTTTCTTAATCACCCTAATCTTTGTCACATTTTTCCTTCATTTCGGCTATCAATTGATCAAGGTCGACTTTGGTTAACCATTTTCTTAGATGTATCTCTACATCTAAGGTTTTTGCAGGTAAAAAGATGGACTAAAGGTTTTGTTTAAGCCGAAACGTTCTCTATTTTCATCTTAAAAACATGTAAATTGGTGTTTGTAGTACATTTGACTACAAAAACTCCTTTTTTGGTTACATACCGAATCACTAAAAACCTCGAAAGACAACATATCAATATTGAGTTTTTTTTTCTGTTTCAGTAACTTATCATTTTTTATATATTGAAGTTCAATTGTTTTTTTATTTTTGAATTTTGATAGAAAAGTCATACGAGAAGGATCTTCTAGAAAGAGTAACGAAGCATTTGGACTTTGAGACGATATAAGAGATGGTGGATTTCTTTAAAAAGTTTAAGACGAAAACGGAGAACGTTTTGGTTTCAACAAAACCTTTGATCCATCTCTTTACTCGTGAAATCTTAAATGCGGAGCTACATCTAAGAAAATGGTCAACCAAAGTCAACTTTGTTCATTTGATAGTTGAAATGAAGGAAAATACAACAAATATTATGGTGACTACAAAAAGATGAATGATCTTGTGTACTTTGTGATTTTGCTAGATCCTACCATGAAGTCCAAATTATATATATATATATATATATATATATATATATATATATATATATATATATAGAGAGAGAGAGAGAGAGATGATTGGGTACTAGTATGATAAGTTGTCAAAATCGATCATAGACTGAAAGCACTTCAAATGTTTTGTGAGGTTGAAGATTGAGAAATTTTTAAGACCTATTTGGAAAAATGCGATATGGACGGGTCTTCTCAACAAGTCGTTGATTGTAATGGTGATAACGACTTTTTGGCTACTTCCTTAATACGAGAGGTGGCAACTCAGATACGATGGACAATGAATTAAGAAATTATTTGGAAGAGCCGCCTGCAACGTACAACAAAATTTTAATACCTTCGATTGATGGAAACTTAACAGGTTAAGGTTCCCAATAGTTGCTCGAATTGCGAAAGATATTGACTTCTTTTTTTAAATATTTCATATTTCATTTATAAACTAATATAGTTACATTTTGCAATAATTTATTTGTTATGTACCCAAAACGGGTTAGAAAGTGTAGAAATCTTGTAAAAGACAACATAGACGACATCTTAAATGACGATGATTAGAAATCCTATAAAAGACAACATGGATGCGGTCTTAAATGACAATAATGTAGCTTTGGGTAACATTATTTTCAGTTCGTATTATATTTTGATACGATTTATACATTTTATTAAATACTAATAACTTTTATGCTTTGTGTTTTATATAGAGATCGAAGAAGCTTTAAACAAAGTCGATGACTATGCAATGGGGAAGAGGGCAATGGAGAGATGATATATACTTTGGTTGAAAATTGAATTGTATTAAACTATTTGGATTGGTTGCATTTGTATTAAACTATTTAGATTGGTTGAATTGTATCAAACTATATGACATTTTGTAGTATGTTATGAATTCCATCTCCGGGGCAAAATCGTCCAATGAAGGAAATGATGGCATAAACTGATGTGAATAGATGGTAAAGTGGATGTAGCTATAAGATGTACCTTCTCGACCCTATAACAACATATAGTTTAAGTCCGAGTTTTCTTAATATTTCTTGAAGTCTATGATTGTTGGATGGGAGAGCATCTACAGCTTCTACAACTGATGGGACAAAAACTAACACCAGTAGCATAGTAGCAATCTGATGTCCCTATTTCAAAGTACATTGTTATTCAAAGTATGCAAACTAACACTAGTAGTAATCTGTAATCTGATGCCCCTATTTCAAAATACATTATTATTCAAAATACTATTATAAATTTTTATATCATTAACACTATTATAATATAATTTTAATAGCTGCACATTTTGACTTCAAAATTCAAATGTGGTAAAAGTGTAAAACAGGTAATAGGGGACAACCGGAGTACCGAAATCATGAAGTTCCTTCTGATTGTACAGCTAAAAATGCAAAATTTGCAAAACCATTATTCAAATGTGAATGTTAAGTTTTTTTAAAGTATGTACGCTTTGAAGCTGCTTAGTAAGTTTATAAAAATAATAGTAATAATAATAATGAAGAAGAAGAAGAATATTGGCAAAGACGTATGTAGGGAAACATGTTTGTACAAGGCACAAGATTTAGCATAACAATGTAAACTTACAGATCAACTTGTTGATGCAGTTGTGATTAAGAGCTTAAACAAGTAAAGTCAGTCTTGTTTTACTTTTTGGAAGAACCAAAACCTCCAAATCCCATCATAGCTGCAACATCAGGGTCCACCTCGATTTCCTCCTCCACTGCCTTCTCTTTCTGTTCAACAAAAACAACACAACACATCCTTCCTACATTACTATCATAATAATAATAATAATAATAATAATAATAATAATAATAATAATAATAATAATAATAATAATAATAATGAATAACTTTATTAAGTATTGGTGAAAATTATAATATTACCTTCTTTTCTTTTTTCCTTTCTCGCCTTTGACGCTTCTTTTCCTCCTCTTCTTGCTGTTGTTTTAAGATCCGGTCATCAAGATCTGTTTTTTATATAACAACTCATCAGGCTACCAACTCTTCACCAACTGGATCTGGGGAGGGTATTCACGTCTTTTTCGGAGGGACAGAATTGTAATTTTTAATTTTGTCTCTCATTTACATTTGTTACTAAACCATGATCCAATTTATTCATACCTTGCTCGGTGAAGGTTCCAGGATCTTTTCGCTTCTTCAGGTTTTCAAATCGCTGCTGAACCTGTGTTTTTCCAATAAAAAATGTGCCTCAAATTTCCTAAAATATAAACTTTTACATTTCCAACAATTTGGTGAACTGAATCAAGTTATAAAGAGAACCAAATGTGATACCTGAAATTGCTTTGATTATATTTAACTACTTGCCTGAGTATTTTTATGTTAGGCTCAATGCATGTGTGGATTTGTAAATTGTACCTGTTCAAGAGATGCACGTTCTACACGCATAGACATTCCCAAGGCTCTTTGATCTGTAGAAAAATAACAATACAGATATATAAAAAGAAAGTAAACCATAAATAATATAATATCTTGACATATGAATTTAACTACTTACGTTTCTTCCCATTGATATGGTCCAGATAGTTTGCAGAATCTTTCACTACACATTCACAAACAGAGCAGAAGTATCCAGCCTGAATTGAATCAAATTAAATCTTAGCATACCCATCAATTTTCATCATACTTTGAATTCTAAAACCTTTTTATTTGAATTCTATTTTCTTCAATTCAACACAAAAAAGAGTAAACAGAATGCCTGATTGATTATAAAGTTTATAGATTTACCTGCTGGCTAAGGGGTGCAATTGGAGTGACAACCTATCAAAGAAGAGAGGCATGAAGGAGTCAGAATAATATATGTTCAGTAGGAACCAAAAAAAAATATTATAATTTATAAGAAGCTTCATTAAAGCATAATAAATCAGCAGCGACCACAACTTTCAAGATGAGAGTTTTTGAAGGGTTCTAATCTTGTCACACAGAATAAAATGCACATGTATACTATATACAGATATGTAAATAGATATGTGTGATGATACAAATGTGTCAAGAAAAGTGGATAAAAACAATGATTAAAAAAAACGAGCATGAGACCTTGTTGTAAATCTGGAATACACATCAAATATTGATCTGTAAGGATCTCAGCAACTAAGAATTTTTTTTTTCTTTATTCTCTCTGTTTGGTGAATCACATTGATACTCTTCATAACTGACAACTTTTTTACAAGCAGAAGAATTACATTTCATTAATAAGCAAAATGCAGGAAAGTTTCAAAAACTTTTTATCATGGTAACATGTCATCAAATGTGGCCCCATTATAGATAGTCATAGTAATATGATTCTATTCCAACACATTTGGTTGTCAGTTCATTCTATTCTACATTGTTTATTGTAATGTAGTTCTTGTTTCCTGGTGTTGGTGGGGCCCCATGTTCTAACAAAGAGCATAGAGTTAAAGTTAATAAAACAATCAATCTTAAAATAACCAGGTAACACTAGCTCATATTTCATATCCATAATATTTAAATTCCTATGTTTTCCCTTTGAAAGGAACATGAACGCATATTGCTTTTAGTTGCTAAAGGCCATAAACTTGTAAGATCAAAGATACAAAAAGTCAAAAACACACTTGACTATCATTATCGAAATCTTGGGTGCCTCATTATTCAGAACCATAATTTCTGGATGACTCACAAACCCTCCATGTATAAATATAATTATATGAACAAAAGGTGAAAGGGATAACCTGAGTCTTCCCCAAGCGAGAGTTGAGATCCACTTCATAATCTCTATGCTTCAAAGGTTTCCTTTGCACTGGCGGACCTTTTGCTGCAATCAAAGTTGGATTGTATCTTCTCAAAAATCTTGATTAGCCAAAAAGAAGTTATATGTATGCATAGACAAATATGGAAGACACTAAGAGAGTTAGGTTGCAATGTGCAAAACAAGAATGTGGGAAAGGGGAGTATTTTTTTCTTTTCCGATCCAAAATGAAACGAACAAAATTTACATTTTTTTCAAACACACCAGCCTTATGTTCTATATCATAATAGAACTTTCTTCCTCAATCAAGTTTTAATGCGTAAAGCTATCAGATGTATTCTTTCTGGGAGAACAGATGACAGAAATTGAACTCTTTTTACTTACATTTGGAACGGCCTTCCAACTCCTGAAATACAAATGAAGACGACAAACCATCAGCAGAATCAAAGTGAAAATGCACAAAAGCAAACAAAATCAGCAAGTGGCGAATTAATAACCTTCTCTTCACGTTCACGAGCGCGTTGCAAATATTCTTCTTTGTCGAACTTCCTTCTGAAAGTGTTGTCAACTCCAGCAGTCTGCATACAGTGATTCAAGCTATTATCAAAACAAACCAAACAATTGAATAAACTAATTGTTACCAAAATCTGACAAAAATCTGATTAAATGAAGGGAGAGGGGAGCTTACATTGTTGGGCTGAGCCATGGCTTGGAATTAATTAGGGCTTAACGAACCAGGTGGTATTTCTCAGTCAATTGAAATCGATAGTGGATGTAAACTGATTCTGAAATCTTGGATTATGGCTGGATATTGCTTATTACGCACGAGAGAAGACGGGGAAGGTTTTTATTCAATTTGGGGCTAAACTTAAAACCCTAATTCGACTTGAGCTCACGAATGCCCTCTTCTCCCAGAAAAAAAAAAATAATAATTATAATAATAATAATAATAATAATAATAATAAGGGTTATGTTTGAAAATTAAATTAATGTTTTTTTGCAAATTTAGTAAGAATTGACATTTTCGTGAACATAGTCAAATCACAACGAACGAGAATTCGTTGTACTTTTGAGTCGTCTGTTGTGCGACTCATTAGATTAATATTTTTATGTTTTACGGAAAATGAAATTGAATAGTACAGTCCTGCAACTTGAGATTTTTCGCGAGAAGTCGGATCGAGAAGTCCGGGACACACACTATCCATTTGTCATTCTTCTTTTGGACCACCACCATGTTGGCTAGCCATCTTGGAAATTTTACCTCTTTAATCATCCTTGTCTTGAGAAGTTTTTCAACTTCTTCTTGAATGATTTTGTTTCTCTCAAGTGCAAATTTCCTTCTTGTTTGGTACATTAGAAGTTTTCGTTTGTCCAGGGAGTCAGCTTTGAGGATGTGGAAGATTTTTCGAAGGAATAGAGGGAACAGAGAAAGAATAAATGGTCAATTGTGTAGACATAATTTTCGAGAGTTTTTTTTTGAAAGAGCTAATTTTCGAGAGTTATAAACACCATGACCCCACGGTGGGCACCAAATTGTTTTAGTCAAAAATCGATTAAATGAATATCAACCAAAGTAAATGAAAGGCTTTGGTATTGTAGTTGAAGTGATTAACAAAATTGCACAAGTGGTTTACAAGGAAAACACTTAATCCTTGTTAGGATTTCCGATACAAAACCTTGGGAGGTGAAAATGATCACTTGTCTTGTTTAATTGTATTGAATATTGATTGAAACGTAAATTACAGAAATGGAAGTATGAAAATAGGTACAGGTGTTGCAGTAAGTCTAGTTGTGTGTAATGTTACAGTACATGTGTTTTTATAGTTTGATCTAAGTAACTAACAATTTGATATTCCCGGGATCCTCTTGAATAAATATAACATGTTGGTTTGACTTGGTATTTCTAGGTCTCATATATGAACATACATTTATTGATGAACAAAGGTTCCTTTACTAATTTATATGGCGAATGGAATTGAGGATCTTTTGATAATGCTAAAATTGTTAGCTTTATTATTATCGTATAAAATAACTTGTAATCTGTTTGGTTTTAAAGTCCATATTTATTTTTGAACATATGTTCATATATGAACATAGATTGAAAAAAAATGGATAATGGAATGATTTCAAAAGCAGTTGATCAATTTCATTAGCCAATCATCATCACAAATTTGAAGGGTTTTGGCAATTTTAAGAGATTTTGTCGATCGATTAACATACGATTTCAACGACACAACACAATAGATTTTTAAATTTTATTTTAATTTTGCATAATCAATGTAAATTTGTTCAGTTACAACTACTTACTGTGGTGTAAACTATCATATCATTTTGTTCTAAATCTAATATAATGATCACGAAGTGGTCATGTGATTAGATGATGTTATTTGGCTATGCATTGAACCAACCATATATATATATATATATATATATATATATATATATATATATATATATATATATATATACTACTTTATTATGCATATATAATAGAGAGTCCTATGATTTTTAAGACCATAGTCTTAAAATAAAGAGACTTAATCTTAACTTTTGAATTTAATTTGAATGGTGTAGATAGTGATCCATGTAAACAAGAAGCAATAAATTAAAATAAAATGATGAAAAATATATTCATTTTAGTTATGTCACATTTGACTATATCTATCTATCTATCTATATATCTATCTATATATTTTATAAAGCAAACATTTTTCATTGAATATTATGCATTTGAAACTCTCAATACTATACAACTTATAAAATTTAATTTATGATTAATTGAAATGTTGATTTGCAACTCCCAAAACACTTTAAATCATCTTATTTAATTGATAGGTTAAATGAAATATTTAACATATACAAGAACATTGTAGCTTGCATATTGCATGTATGTCTAACACAAAATAATAGATTATTTGTAACACCGTAAATTTTCAAACCAAATTTTTCATTTTCAAACACCATAAAACACATGTCACGTTTTCTCAAAAATCTCAAGTATCAAATATCAATACGTATTTCAAAAATTATTTATCACAAATCCAAGATCCACAAAAAATATAACTTCAGCTCAAGTGTGTGTACAATCAAGCTAGTGCCTTCCCACGATCATCGGAAGTACCTGAAATACATAACACATAACATGGTAAGCACGAAGTTTAGTGAGTTCCCAAAAATACCACACACAGCTCACTAGCCACTTGAGGCTATAACTCGGTAAGACCATCTGGTTAATGTGTCTCGGTGATGTAACAGCCCGAAATTCAGGTAAGCCTTATGACCCTTCTACTTTGAGAGATGGCAAGTTGAGTTCCTTAAAGTTATATGTGGATTTGTGAGTATGTTGGGCATCAAGAAACGTACGTCGCACGTACTAAAGCGCTTAATTTGGATGCGGACTCGCCCGGGTACACTGGGCGTACCCAGGGTTATGTTGGGCGTAATGTGTCCAGGTGCAAACCTTAAATTCTGGCTTGTGCACTATAAAAGGAACGTTTAGTCCCTTGCCCTAGCCACCATACCCCCTTGAGTGAGCCCTTAGAGTGCATAAATTCGTGTATAAGCTTGTGTGTGTGTGTTCTTGAGCTTGAAGGTACCTTTTGAGGTGAAGAAGGAGAAGAGGAAGCCATTGTTGGAGCTAGAGGGGGAAGAGAAAGAGTAGATCCGAGTTCTACAGTGGTTGGAGATCCCTTTTGAGGTAAAAAGCTTCAAGCTTTGCATCTTTTCTGTTCATGCTTTTTAGAGAGAAGTTTTATGGTTTTTGGTCCCCAAGTTCATAGCTTTTTGAGTGGTTTAGCTCTTAGAAGTCGAGATCTGTCCCATACTAGCTCATTTAGTGTTGTTATGTGATAAAAATCCAGTCTTGGTTGTTAAAAGTTGTTCATGCATGAGATATGGACCTTTTAAGGTTTGAAATATAGTGTGTTGGGTGTTTGTGACTTCCACAACCATGCAAAGGCTTAAAGTCACCAACTTTATGGATTAAGTCATGTTAGAGGAGTCAGATCTGGATTTTGGACGCAAGACTTAAACGATTAAGACCTGAATAAAGAGGAGGAGAAAATTGGGAGTTACGTTGGGCGTAATCCCAATACGCGCGGCGTAAGGGGCCGTGTACCTTAATTTTGTGAAGCCAACGGGTACGCTTAGCGTACAGATCTGGTACGCGCCGCGTACCCCAGAAGGTTGACTTTTGTTGACTTTTAGGGTTTGGTCAATTTTAGAGTATTCGAGCCTTGAGAGGGGTAAAATGGTCTTTTACCCTACTGAGAGTGCTAAGAGAGGGAATGGTCTAGCCTTGGGGAAATGTGTTGATGCCGAGTGTTTATTTTGTATGATTAGGCGGAGGCTAGATCCCAATTCCACGGAGTCCGAGATTTCCGAGTTACCGAGTTGCGCAAGGTAAGTCTTCTCACTATACTTTACCTAGAGTGGTATTGTGAGTTGATCGAAAGGTCTTATGTGCTATGTATGAGATTGTGTGCCATATATGCGATTATATGTTATGTGTTGTGTGTATGATATATAATTGTATAGACCGGATCGGAGGGTCCAACGATTCAGACCGGGTCGGAGGGCCCAACGAGCTATCACCGGACTAGAGGGTCCAACGAGCTACGAGACTAGAGGTTCCCGTTGAGACATATCGACCGGAGGGTCGTACAGTAGCCTCAAGTGGCGTATGTGTTGTATGTGGTATTTTGGGGAACTCACTAAGCATTTATGCTTACAGTTGTTGTGTTATGTGTTTCAGGTACTAGCAAGGACTGTGGGAAGGCGTCAACGTGACCGGATAGCTCTTGCATCCAAGTTGGTGCTAGACGATAGGGCGATTAGGCTACTGGGTAGCCCCTGGAACTAAGTTGATTCTAAACTCGAGCTGTTGTTGTGGGGGAAATCCCAGTAGTTCCTCTGGAAAGATATCAGGAACGTCTCATGCTTCTGGGATGCTCTTTAGGTCTTTGGTCTTTTGGCTCGTATCGACAACATGAGCAAGGAATGTGTGACATTCCTTTCGCAGGAACTTCTGGGCTTGAATACTCGAGATGATACGAAAGGTCATGGCAGGTTTGTCGCCGTAGATAATAAGGGTTTCGCTAGACGGAAGATTAAGACGAACGACTTTCTCGTAAAACATGATGTCAGGGTGATGAAGACTTAACCAGTCCATGCCGATTATGACGTCGAAGATTTTAATCGAGACTTGCATGAGGTCGATTATAAAGGAATGGTTATCTAGAGTTAGAGTACATCCTATGTATATACTGCGAGTGCTCTCAGATTTTCCGTTAGCCATTTCTACAGTGAACGACTCTTTAAGTGTGCGTGATTGTTGTTTAAGTAAGGGAGCAAAATTATGGTTCACGAAACTCCTCTCCGCTCCGCTATCAAACGGTATGCATGCATAAGAGTTATCGAGGAGAAACGTACTAGTGACCACCGTAGGGTCGCCTACCGCTTCCTCGTGGCCTGTAGCCAAAACTCTTCCTATGTCACTGACGTTCCCTGCTTTCGGGTAGTTCCTTTGTAGTGGACCACCTTGCCACATCCGTAGCAAGCCTGGCACACACCAACGTCGGGGACTTGATTAAGTGGCCTTGCCGGAGACTTGCAAAAACGGGTAGTGTGCCCTTTCCTGTTTTAGTTTGAGCACTGCATTTCCTAGCAGAGTCCATTATGGTGGAAGCTGCACTTGTTGCACTTGGGCAAGCTTCCAGCATACTGCTTCGTAGGCGTAGTAGCAGTAGGTGTTATCGCAGCATGAATAGCCACGACCTGCTGCTTTTTGGCAGAGTTCTGCTTCAATTTTTCCTTCTTGTTACCCCAGTATTTCCGCTTGCTGTCAACAACCTTGGAAGGTTCTAGGATGGCTAGGGTTGTTGTTATTGACGGGGGTGCGGACTCCGTGATACACGAGCCGTTGTG